TCTATTAGGTTGGCGGGAAAGTGTTTGTCACTTTTTCAATAGTTTATTTCTCAAAGAAAAAATAACCGAATAATTAATTATATTGTCCATCATTATCAACAACATGTCTCCAACGTTCCCTCAATTTATGGATTCCATTGCGGTAGAATCCAGCCGGGCGTGAGGCAAAGTATTGTTTGAGTGCCGCTTCGACCGCTCCACGGGAATTGAAGCTTCTTCCTTCGAAGGCACGTGTCATATCGCCAAATAACCAATAGTCGGAAGGAGCAAGATCAGGAGAATACGGGGGGTGAGGGAGAACATTCCATCCATATCCCATCAGCTCCTGCTTCACTTGTTTCGAAACATGTGGGCGAGCGTTATCATGTTGATAGTACACTTTCTTGTCTTTCAGGGCCGAACGGTCGACTGCTTTCTTGAGGTTTCGTAGTTGAGTAGTGTAGAGGTCTCCAGTTATTGTTTTGCCCTCGGGCAGAAGTTCCCAGTAGATGGGGCCGTCCACTCCCCACCACACAGAGAGCATAACTTTTTTCGGATGAAGGTCGGGTTTGGGGACATCCTGTGGGCTCTCTCCTTCTCCAACCCACTGGGATTTCCTGTGGTGATTATCGTAGAAGACCCACTTCTCATCTCCGGTTATTAGCCGGTCCAGCCATCGATCGCCCGCGTGGAGAGTGAGAAGAGTAATCGAATCGTCGACTCGGCGGTCAAGGTTGGCTTGAGTCANGTGATGAGGTATGAATCGACCAAAAAGTTTTCTCATTCCAAGAGACTTCAAACCTTCAAGGACTGTGCTATGGTGAACTCCGAATGTGACAGCTAGTTCACGGCTAGATTGAAATGGATCCGATTGCAATGCGTGCTTCAGCTTGTCCAAATCCAACTCACGGGGTCTCCCAGAGCGATCCTTTTCATCGAGCGAGAAGTCATCTTTTTCGAAACGATGGAACCAATTGCGAATAGTATTGTAGTGAGGGGCATGTGTGTTGTACACATTCTTCAAGAAAGTTTCCGAATCCTTCATCGTGGTGTGAGATAGGAAGAGGTAAATCAAAACATGTCTGATGTGAATAGCAGTGGGAACAAACATATCGTTTCAATTACAGATGAGGAGCAGGGAAGGAAATGGGGACTTGTTTATATGGAAGGTTCTTATCACCTTGTTATTCACTAGAGTCGATATCATACACAGCCTCCATATACGAGAACAGTGATTAAACAAACAGAGTGACAAAGACTTTCCCGCCAACCTAATATAAGGAAAGGGCGAAAACTTACATTTTTGATATTGGAGGAGATGCTTCTGTTTTTTGCGAGCTGATGTTTCCGCCGACGCTGAATCTTTGTTTTCTTATTAACTTGTTAGAATTTTAACGACAGCTGAATGGTCTGATTCGTCGCAAACTATAATTGTTATTTCTTCTAATTGAATAAACATTTTGCAGTAATACACAGCAGTTCACGAATTCCTCAAGGAAGATTCAACAATGGATAAACCAATCAACATCGGTCCAGATGGGAGCCGGGTCCAAACTCCAGGTGAGACAACATATTCATAATTTGACCATGAACCTTAAACATAAGTTTTTTTTTCAGACGACCAACATCATGATGCCGAAAACATGTATAGCCGCATCCGCAAACGTCGCGCGAACGAAACCTGCGAGTCGTATTTGAACGGTAAACTTTTTTTTTTGCTAAATACCAAAAATTCAAAACAAACTAATCGAATCAAAATGATTCTATAGCTACGTTTTCGAAATTTTTTCTTCTCACTTTGAGCTAGATCGAACCTTCAAAAACAGAGAGCCTGGAAAACGGAAAAACAAAACTTTGAAATCTTTTTTTAAATCTAGAAATTGTTTTTCCTTTTCCGAAAAATAGAAAAACCGCTAAAAGCAACAGTTATTTACAAAATTGGAAACTTGTTGAACATTCTTAAATATATTGTTTTCAGATGTACAAGATCATGACGCAGATAACATATATGAACGAATCTATAAGCGTCCCTCGAGAGGAATTACCAAGTCGTCTACTACAAACGGTAATTTTCTTTTATTTCAAAAATACCAATTGATCAAAATTAAATATTTTATTCCGACATTATTCGAAGAATCATTTTGAATGAATACATTCCTTTTTTCAGAAACGACTAGCATGTCCAACGTCCAAACTGCCATCAATACCACCAATCATTCAAACGCCACCAATTCTACAGAGGACCGGCTGGCTGATAAGAAAACTATCCAGAACCTCGGAAACAAGTACGGTGAAACTATTGCACTTCACAAAAAAGCGTCGGCGGAAGTGGAAAGACTCACGCGTTTGGAAACAAGTCACAAGGAAAAACTCGAAGATTTGATTTCGAAAAGAAGATTCTCTCAAAATCAATGCGAATCGAACTCCTACTCCCGTCGTATTTGTGAGACACTCTTACTTATCCATGCAAATGAGGAGGATATTAAAAAAGCGTTGGAAATCGAGAAATCCACCAAAGACTATAAGGAGACGGCTGAGGCTGAATGGAAGTTTAAAGCCACCAATATCACCAATCATTCAAACGCCATGAATTCTACGAAAGACCGGCTGGCTATTGATAAAACTATCCTGGACCTCGGAAACAAGTACAGTGAAACTATTCCACTTCACAAAAAAGCCTCCGCGGAAGTGAAGAGAGACAAACGTCACAACAAAAAGCGTCCGGCTGTGAACCGTTCCGAATGGACCTGGATACCTGGACATCTTCCTGAAATTCCGCAGACAAGATTCCCGAAGGGTGTTCCTCAAGGACCAAAAAGAATTCCATCTTATACAGTTGAAGATCTAGATAAAGAATGGTCGAGAAAGGAGCTTCCTAGTCGACAGAGTGGAAGATATGCTCAATACGACCCGGAATCTTATTTCGAGCGAGAGCTTTTAAAAGAAACAAATTGGAAGAAGTTTCTGAAAGAAGAAAAAGCGGCCCGAAAATCGCAATAATTTTATGCTTTTCTCACTCATTAGCATTCCAAAACATCCTTCGATTCTTATTTACATTCTTTGAGAATTTTACTTTTCTAATTTTTGAAGAATTTTTGTGTCTTTTTATTAAAAAAAAGAAATCTGCCTCCCCCAAATTTTATTTTCGAAAATTCCCCACCTAAATTTTTTTTCAATACTATCCAACTTTTATTATTCTCCTTTCCTTGATCTTCCCTTTTCTATTTCATTTTGATTAAAATAGAAAAAATTAGCTTCAATTCTTAAAATTAATTGAACCACCCGTTTTGTACCTACTCACCCCGTGGAACTATGTTATACCATCTTTGATTCATTTTCAAACTTCAATGAATGTTTTATTTAGAAATATTGCTGTTGTGTTTTCTGATCTAAGAATGCTATGTTATTGGACAACTTTGAAATTGTGAACAATACATCGTGGACGCAGACACATAGCTTGTCTTTCCATGAACATTTTTCTTGGAAATATGTTTATTTTTCAAAAATCAACTGAAAAGGCGTCAAAATTCAAGTAAAATTGTTTTCTTTTTTGGAAATGCCTGGTATTTCTAGAAATTCCTGGAATTTTTCTGGAAATCCCTGGGATCTTTCTGTGAATCTCTGGGATCTTTCTGGAAATCCCTGAAATTTTGTTTCATGTTTACAGTCAATTTTATAATTTTTTAGATTCTAAAAAAGTTGTATTTTAGTAGAATAATATATTAAGTACATTATTATCAAATTTGAAACTTAAAAATTGCTGCTCTCGTACATAAAAACTACGTTTTCTACAAAAATGACAAGAATGGATGGTGCTAAGAATTTCAAGTACTGTGACAAAAAATGAGAAATTTTTTTCAATAGTTTTCAAGAAAATTTTGTTCAAAAACCATTTTCTGACCCTGCAAACCGGAAATTTTTTGAATGATGTTCAGTACATTTTCACGCTCCCATTTTCCTTTCGGAAAATAATTCAGTTGATTTTTGGAAGGAAAATGGTTTTCCAAGGTAAAAGTTTATGAATATGGCTTTTGAACTTCCACAGTTTTTCTGCAAGCCTCAGTTGCAAGTGAAATTTTTTCCAAAAAATTCTGAAATTTCAAAAAATGAGCAAAACAGAAATTGGACTGGAAGCGAAATGTTCAGAATAGACCATTTTAATTTTGTCCGTAACAAAAACCCTTCAAAAAAGAGCTTTAAAATGAGTATAAGCATGACTAGGTTTCGTAAAATTTCCCAAAATTTATTTTTCAGGCAGAACAAATTTCTTTTTTTTTAGAATGGGCGGTGCTTTTTTCCAATATACTATAACTTCCAGTTCAGAAACTGTCAAAAAACTAAGTTAAGCTTATTTTGAGGTTCAATAAGCTCCACTATTCTTCATGTAAATTAGGCTACGCTCAATTTTCCATCCTATAATCAAAATGGGCGGAGTCTATGCGGGGTCTCATTTCGAAGGACACAACAAAACGAGCAGTTTGAAATCATTTTGCGACTATTTCAGGCAGAAATTCAAAGAATTTCAAAGCGTTCTTCAAAATGAGAACATCACGTTTTGAACTTGGACCTGTTTTCAAATTTTATATGAAGAATTTCGAAGAAATTATGTTTTTTGATTTATTGAAATGTCGATTAGTGATAAAATTGAGAGAAAAATTGGGGAGGGTAAGTTTCGAAAAAAAATTTGGGGGAGGGAGATTATTTTATCAGAAGATGACAGGAAAATTCATTTTAAAAAATTTGAAAAGTAAGACTTTGAAGAGAGAAAAAAAGATTCGAAAGCATGTTTTGGAATGCTAATGAGTGAAAAAAGCATAAAATTATTACGATTTTCGGGCCGCTTTTTCTTCTTTCAGAAACTTCTTCCAATTTGTTTCTTTTAAAAGCTCCTGCTCGAAATAAGATTCCGGGTCGTATTGAGCATATCTTCCACACTGTCGACTAGGAAGCTCCTTTCTCGACCATTCTTTATCTAGATCTTCAACTGTATAAGATGGAATTCTTTTTGGTCCTTGAGGAACACCCTTAGGGAATCTCGTCACTGGGTACTCGGGGAAATTTGGTGTCCAGGTCCATTGATTTTGCTTCTAAAATTAAGAACTTTAAAATTTCTAATTCAAAAAACTTTGATTTCCAAACTACTAAATTTCTGATTTTTTTTTGAATTTTCGTAATTCTGGGTTTTTGAATTGGAATAACTTTTGAAAATTTCAAAACTGAAAAAGGATTGTTTCCACAGTTTTCAGAAAATTTTCTGAATCGAATAGAGACATACGTTTCATAACAAGCTTTAAACTTTTCAAGAATTCGATATAAAAAACTTCAGGTAACACAAAAATGTCAAAAACGAAGTAATTCGTAGTGCGGAGTTTTGGAACAGTGATTTTCAAAAACACACACTGCCTATGAGTCACCATATTTCTGATGGCTTGAGAATTGTGTTGTTCTATGCTGAACAGTATTCTAGAACCCCGACCTTTCGGTGTCCGATGTTAGCGACTAAGTGAACTTTGGCATTGTAGTCTTCTCTAGTTCCGGTTTTTTAAATATATTTTTTGCCTTTTGATAGTGCTTAAGGCACCTTTCCTTTATAACTCAACTTAAAGCCAGTTGTCCAGGCTTTTTTTTCTAGTTTTTAAGCATTGTTATTATTTTCAGAAGGTTGGAACAGTTCTAAATTTAAAAAAAAATTATTTCGGACTCTGTTGCAATATTTGGTCAGAAAATGAAAATTTTGCTCGATGGAGATAATGACTAGATTCGATTTGGAACAACTTTCTATTGCTGTTTTGGGCATTTTTTTGTGTTAAAACTTAAATTCTATCTCGTTTTCTTCACGCTGAAAGTTTTCATTTTTGTTTCAGTCATTTTTTGACAAAAATTGGTCAATTTTTGAACAGTTTTTTTAGTTTTCAGTACTTTTTAAATTCTTATTATAATAACTTACTTTTTTTGTAGCCCCCGCACTGGAGCTAGTGGGCTTCTCATTCTTTTGCGTAGCGTCATCGACGGTTTTCATATTTTTTTGATCCGAGTTGGAAGACGATTGATTTCCTTGCATTGTTATTTTGCGCAACTGAAATTTGATGCAAGAATGAGTGTAAGAAAGTGAATGAAAGTTGGAAACTAGAGAATAGCAAAATTTCAGCGGTGAAAAAAAGGCAAAAAATAGGAAGACGTTGTACAAAAGAAAACTGTTTCAAGTGAAAACTTTCGTTAAGTTAAAGATAATCGATGTGAATCATACAACCAAATACATTTAATTTAAAGAAACATCTCCTGGAATACATACTTTTGTTCATAAAGTAGAAAAGTTACATGGCGACACACAATTTATTGCACAGAAATACAATAAAGTTACTACAAAACCAGAAGAAGACATGAGAGTCAACAAGAAGGTTATTTCTGTTATTGTAGTTTGACAGAGATGCGAGTTGCGGCCGAAAATGCAGCTACAGGCTTATCTTTTGACAATCACTAAAAAAGATTTCTAAAAATAAATCTCCTTTTTTGCTATTCCCGTCTGATACTCATGAATCTTTCTTTGAGTTTTTTTTAATAGAAAACAAACTGAAAATCGACCAAAGAAACTTAATTTTGAGGTACGGTATCGAAAACGGGTGCACTTTTAAAAAATGTCGCCATTTTTGTTATTGCTCCTCAATCTGTATTCTGGCCGCAACGCGCATCTTTGGCAGACTAGAGTTGATTTTTTAAAACAAACTTTTTCAAAGTTGATTTTTAAAAATAAACTGCCGATAACGTATCTCAAAATTAATCTCCTTTTTTGCTATTCCCGTCAGATACTCATAAACCTTCCTTCACAGTAAAAGATCGGTAGGAAATTTTCTATAGAAACGAAAAATGTGCGACAAAAAACTACAAATCAGATAAAAATAAAACTATTTTTGATTCTTATAGTAGAAAATTGGAAAAACGAAGCAAAATGCTGCTCAGTGACACGAAAAAATATATAATTTGAAAAATAGACAAAACAAAATACACACTATTTGACACACATTGAAAAGTGACTGCCATAAACCCTGTTTTATCTCCTCATATACGCAGAAAACATGCGATACTGCTGAAAAATGAACTAAAAATCAAGTCTATAGCCAGAAAGGTAAATCAATAAATTTTTGCGGTGATCAAATCAATAGAAAAAGGAGATACATAAAAAAGAAAAAAGTTGGAAGACTGAACTAAACGACAGATGTGATTTCCTTTTATAGGGATGACGGGTTAGGGGGCGGAGCTTATTTTCAGGTGAGGTGCGCGTGCTCAAGGGAAAGAAAAAATCAATCGCACCCGGTAAAATCGATAGGCCATATGACAATTCAGAATTGAATGGACAAAAATCAATTATTCATTTTTTGTACACCAAAAAAAGGGTAATTCAATTTGCTTTTATAATTCAAAAAGTGCCAAATATAAATCTTAACAATTATCGAAAAATATGAAAATTTTCAGATTAACAGTTTCAGACTAAAACAAAAATAGAGCTTTATTTTGTAAATGACAACTGGCTGTCGACAAAGTTTCTCATTGCACAGGAACTCAAATACCCGTACTTCTTCGCCATTTTTCGTATTTTGAAAGCATTTTCGGGGATATATTTTTTTGAATTTTTTCCCTTCAGATTGAAAACCATGGAATTGAGAAAAAAGAGAGGAAGAAAGAGAGGAGAGCGCAAAAAAACAAATGAAAATGGAGAAAAAAAGAAAACAAGAAGAGGGATTGGCAGAGGAAGCACGGAAAGCCGATACAGTGTGTCAGTGTCCGTGAGTTGAAAAGAAAAAGAGGGAAGGAGGAAAAGAGAAAGAGGAAAAGAGGGAAGGCACACACCTCCGACTGTCCTCCGCGCTGCTCTACCATTTTTCTGTCTAGCCGTCTGGTGCCACCATTTCGCTTCTCTGTCTAACTGTCTGGCGTCCACTACTTGCTTCTTCGTCTCACCGTCTGCCGCTGCCGTTTCGCTGTTTTGTCGATGGAACTTTTTTCGAAAGGAGCGTAATAATCATACTTGTTAAATCCTGGTCCGGCCCGGGTTGGCCCTGGCCCGGCCAGAGAGAAATTTTCCCGGCCCGACTTACGAATAACTCAGAACTTTTCTGATGATTTTTGATAAATTTTTGTCGAAAAGATAATTTTAGAGTGCGAAATTTAACCCATGACCTTAGAATTCATAATATCAGAAGCTCACGTGTTACATTTTTACCCTCCTTTTTTTTCTAAAAAGTTTCTAGAAAAAAAGAGAGTAAGGCTCATAACGAGTAGTAGCAGATAGGCAAAAAGAATACATTTCTGTGAATGACACGAGGGAGAAAGAGAGGAGAGCGCAAAAAAACAAATAAAAATGGAGAAAAAAAGAACACAAGAAGAGGGATTGTGAGAGGAAGCACGGAAAGCCGATACAGTGAGGAAGCGGGGAAGGTGTGGAAGCGGAGACAGAAGACATGTGTGTGTGTGTGTGTGTGTGTGTGTGTGTGTGTGTGTGTGTGTGTGTGTGTGTGTGTGTGTGTGTGTGTGTGTGTGTTGTGATTGTGAGTGTGTCAGTGTCCGTGAGTTATATGGAAAAGGAGGGAAGCAGCGACCGCGCGCGTGCGGACGGTTCTAGACGACTGTCCTCCGCGCCGCTCTACCATGTGTCTTTCTAGACTTCTGGTGCCACCATTTCGCTTTTCCGTCTAACCGTCTGGCGTCCACTTCTTGCTTCTTCCTCTCACCGTCTGCAGCTGCCGTTTCGCTGTTTTATCAATGGAACTTTTTTCGAAAGAAGCGTAATAATCATACTTGCTAAATCCTGGTCCGGCCCGGGTTGGCCCTGGCAGAGAGAAATTTTCCCGGCCCGACTTCCGAATAACTCAAAACTTTTCTGATGATTTTTGATACACTTTTGTCAGAAAGATAATTTTAAAGTGCCGACACGGGGATTCTTTTTTCCTTGGCTTTTTTCCCTTTTGACGTGGGCCCCCCTATTCTCATGGCCCCCCTTTTCCCATGGGCCCCCCTTTTCTCATGGGCCCCCTTGTCATAAAGAGCCAAGGAAATTACAATACTCTAAAGTGCCGACACGGGGATTCTTTTTTCCGTTTTTTTCAGCTCATTTATTCATTTGGTTTTTTCTGGAAAACAATTTTTTTACATGGTAAGGAATAAATATAGCGTCGCTTTCAAGACAGTGTAAAAAGGTCAAATTGAAAGATTTTTTCTGAAATTCAACCGAAATGTTCATTAAGATACAACAAAAAAGATGTCATTAACAGTTTCTGAGCCTTCCTCCTTTCGCTTCGATAACAGCTCGAAGCCTCTTCAAGAATGAGTCTACTACGGCACTAGGGTAGTTGACGTCCAAATTGTCCCATACCGCTGTCAAGGATCTATTCAGGGCTCCCAAATGAGGATAATTTTTTGTGGAGGCTTATTGGATCCAGTGTTCCTGTAACAGAAAATTCGTCGGGTTGAGTATCAGACTGGAAGTTAGCAATTAATCCTTAGTGAGGAAATCTGGAAAATTGGCTTGGAACAACTGACGAGTGAGCTTAGCAGTGTCTGCAGGCACTCCGTACTGTTAGAATGTCCAACTGCCGTTCACAAGACGTGATTGGGACTGGGCAGCATTTCCGACTTCAAAATCCGTTCGATGTAAAATTGTTGGCTTGGCTCCAAAATCGACAAATTTTACCATTTGAGCATATCTCACCGAATACGATGATTGTGACCGGGTGAGAAGTCTCATTTAGAATTTTCAAACGCCAACATGCACTATAAAAATTCATAGCCACGATTCAATTGTTCTGGCAGTTCTTGTTTAACTCAATAGTGAACAACTCCACCTGTGAAAAACGGTTTTAAAGCGCGTGCCTCAAAGGAGATCTTTGGATATTTTCCTTTGTAACCTCTTGTTACGGTCTGTTAAGAAAGCGCCTTTTTGCGTTCAATATGAAATCATATGGAGCTGGTTTCGGAAAATATTTATCATTGATTTGGGGAACATTCTAAACTACTACGCCATTTTTTTCATGATTCTTTCTTGATTCCTTCTGATTTTCTCTTTCACGGCTTAGACGACTTGAGGAGTCGTCTCAAACATCAGATGACCGCTTTTTTTATATTCTTGAAAGTTCCCAACTCAAGGGTTTGATTGACCCTTGATTTCCTGTTTCCAAGTTTTTTTAGCGATCTCCAAAGTTCTCACCCCTTTTTCGCGCGCTACATACTAGGCATGTGGTATGGTAAAACAGTCACCATTACCTCCAAAGTTGGAATAACCAACTGTCAGAAATAGTTTAAAGCAAAAAAAATGGAGAAAATATATTAGAGTATGCAAAGCAGACGGTTTCGCTAGCGCCAGAGCTTACTCAAAGTTTGGGCGCTATAGTTATTCCCACTCTGTAATTTTCCTATCAGTATTTAAAAAACTCAAAAACGATCCCAATGTTCCGAACTGAACAGTTCTAAAATATATGATTACAAAATAACCAGTTAACTTGAGCCCCATGCCGAAGGCATTTACTGAATCTTGAACTTGAATTTCTTACTATTCTCGCACTGATTTCGTTTTTATACTTTTAATGAGCTCGAATCTCTATTCAGAGTCTGTGAATGATGACAACAAGAAGAAGCGTCTACGTCCGTTTAAGATACCAGAAATGCAATACATTCAGATAAGTACAATGCATGCGATGCAAAAGATCGTTTGAGAATTCAGGGTGGTTTCTTGGGAAAATACCTGTCTATCCTATCACGCATTCAAATCGATCTCAATCTTTCCTCACTTACTTTTTCACAGACCCTTCTGCCTAGATGCTTCTCACTTACTGTCATATCAGCTTCTTCGTTCCAGTTTCCAATTAAAATTTGAATTTGAATTGTCTTTACCCAATTTATGATAGCAAAAGCTGACCTGTCACATTTTCACCCTCAATCTTATCTCAATTTTGAATCATCGGAATTCTTCACTCACAACACTGCAAATTAATCCAAACTGGTAAAATGCTCCATGATCTTTTATGTTTTTGATTTTCAATTCGTTCCAAATTTATGTTTTCCTTATTCCTGGTATTTTATTCATAACCAAAATATCTCTCATTGAAAATTATCTATTTCAGTTCTTCACGGGTAAATAAAGTCAGAACGAAAAAAAATTGAATTGTCATCGTGTCTGCCACTTCCAAGACAACTAATCAAATTACGTAGAGAGAATCAATCAGAAAAATGAGGAGAGGAAGACTACAATTTTCACATATCTGAAGACCATTAGGGAAATTGTGATAGCTCGAAATGATGATGACAAGTTTTTTACTTTTCCGATGATGAACGTTTTTCAGTACATCAATTTTTTATGTTTCAAAAACAACAACACTGATTTTAGTTCCCTTATTTTATTAATAAATCAAAGTTCCAGTCAGAAACTAGGGATGGA